AAAAATATTCAAACCAAATTACAATGCATAGCCCTAAACATAAACAAACAATATCTAACTTATAAATCAGAAAGCCTTGTAAAAATACACCCCTATTTATACACAATTTGCAGTGAAACGTTAGTAAACTTTTGCCTACCTGGTAAATGGTATGTTTGTTTCCTTTTAGAATGGGAAATTCGCAAGATAATGGTCAGGCGAAACACCAAATATTTGCCACTTATACTCCATCATGTCCCGTTTCATCGTTAATAAATACATGTCAAAAACTCAAAAATTGAACCACCAGAATTCTGCTTTCTTCCAGCTATCCCGCAGTCACTACTGGTGATCCATGTTCGTATACTTTGAAAAAAGCTTGGCCACAATCCAGTCCCAAATGATGAACACAATTTCCAAGGAATCCCAAGTTAGTCGCATGTACACAAATCATTGCGTTAGGCCAGCACTGTCACTCTTTTGTCGCATGCCGGGGTAGAGGCACGTACGTGAAATCATGATGGAAACTCGCCGGTCATAAAAACAACAGTCTTTGATGAGTTACAACAAAGTTCAGTTCACCTCTCGTCCCATGCCGGGTTAGGCTACGCGTTCGGCTTAAAATGAAATTTAGGTCAATCAATTCCTTTTAAAGTTCATCTAATTTCCAAACACAGAACGTTTTTCTCCTAAATATATACAGTGATAATGAATGTAGAAAGTTTTCACATGGGTACAAATATCATCCTACCAGTATAACCTAAAGTATGTACATGGATAATGAGAAAAAAGATGTCACATAGGTATAAATATCATCCTACCTGTATAATCATAAGTATTGACAAGGACAATGTGTAGTAAGATGTCACCTAGGTATGAATATCATCCTACCTGTATAATCATAAGTATCAACAAGGATAATGAGTAGTAAGCTGTCACCTAGGTATAAATATCATCCTACCTGTATAATCATAAGTATTGACAAGGGTAATTTGTAGTAAGATGTCACCTAGGTATAAATATCATCCTACCTGTATAATCATAAGTATTGACAAGGATAATGAGTAGTAAGATGTCACCTAGGTATAATATCATCCTAAACATCCTGTTCAACAAAACCATCAATTAATAATATGTCTCTTTCATATGCTTAAAACATTGTAAAAAGTACTCCTACACGTTGATATAAAACTTTAGTCAGCATTTACATGCTTTGAATCTTTGAACGATAAAAGATGTAGCCCATCTCACACGTGTTATGTAAACTCATTACCACATAGAATACAACAATTATACACTAAACACCTAAAGAAACGTTACCCTCCTACCTTTATGAATTGCTTAAAACTGTCAAAGATCTGTTAGAAGGTATTAGTTTACAAGAAAGCTTAACAGCACAGGCTTATGCAAATCACGAAATCAAATTCTCAAATGCATTCATATTTTGGTGAAATGCATCTTTTTCAGAAGAGTTGAATGGTCATATTTTCGTCCATGCCGAAATAAACCAATAACAGTGATTTGGATGTCCAAAAGAACGACTGAAATAAAATTCTGCTTTGAGACAAAGATAAATCATTTAAAGTCACAATTTTTCAACCATTAAAATAAGAAACAACTGTTGTAGAGTGTGTAAAATTGTAAAATATTCATGAAAACAAGTAAAACGTGTCTCTGATATTGTGAAAACTTGTTTAGGAACATCTAAAATTATATTGTTAACATTTTTGCTTGCAAAGTAACAGTTTTCCATTTTCTGTTTACACATATCAATATCAATCGCCAAAACGCAGCAATATTCAAGCAGTATTTGCATCCATTTCACCTGTAGAATGATTCTATATGGTATAAAGAGAGCCTAAAATGCGTGATATGATACACAAGTACGATAAATATACCACGATTAACAGCTGAAGACAGAAAGAGCCATTGGGATGGTGCAGATGGTGTCGACATAGATTGCTGTTTCCAACGCCCTCGGATGCCACCGTATCACGGTTATAAGACTTATTCAGGGCTACAGACACTGGGGTCACCGTATAGGCAGGCCAAGAAGTGGACGTCCACGCATCACAACGTCAGCTGAAAGTTTCTCCGTCATTAAGGAAGGGGGGTAAGGTTTCTTTTAGCGTTTAGTGTATTTATGGTCTTGGGTGTACATTGTTCTACATGAGCAATATGTGTACTTTATTACCCATATTATGAAACATAAGCAGTGTCATATATATCATATGTGCACGTGTGCAGATACCAATTTTTGCCAAGCAACCATTGTTTCTGTGTTTCGTCGTCTGTGACGTCATTAAACAATTGAACGTGACGTCAATGAAGAGGGCCATCACACTTGTTTATCGTGTTCTACTGCGCAAATGTACATGCATAAAGTGGATGCTCGAGCAACTATGTCATATGACATATACGAAACGAGTGCAAAATGTCACATTCTTTTCGTATAAGTCGTATGGCACACTTACGCAATGATCTCTATTTATCATGTCCAGCGTAAGCACATTTCTCTTGTGATAATACTTAATACATATCTTCATGCACTTGATATTGATGTCACATATCCTGGGGTGAATTTTGGCATGGCCTCGCTATGGTTTTAACAGTTGAAGCCTCTTCAAAAGTAGCAATCCTGGATCCCTTGCAAGCAGCATGAAATACAGGTAAAAATGTCCCCTTAAAAGAGCACAGTCACAAGCCTGTATACTTGTCATATCAAGCAGAGTCGTGTTACAGTTAGCCCTTAGCAGTATCTCCACTATATGTTTTCTACCTCTCCAGGCGGAAATATGCAAGCCCATCTTTGTCTCTGAGGTTGAGGTCAGCCCCAGCGTGGATGAATATCTCCGCAATAGTAGAGCTCCCGTTGGCACATGCAATATGGAGAGGTGTTACTCCCTTGATATTTTCAATGTTTACATCTGCACCAGGTTGAACGCATTGTGAAACTAGTGATGAATGGTCCAAATAAGTACTTACACTGAGGAGAGACTCATTGGTAACTGTCCTTGCATTAACATTAGCCCCTCGATCTAATAGTTCACGAGCCACATCCACACTGCCTGAATGAACTGAGTGATGAAGTGGGGCATGGGGCGTTGATATCCATGTCAAGTGCTAAGAGAAACATCACTAGTTTTCTATCAGGGAGTGTTGCAGCGTGTTCGAGAACAGTCACATCCCTTGCAGGTTTATGCTGAACATCACAATGCATTTGTAAGAGAGATATCAGAGCACTTTCCACATATTTAACTGCTGTAAGAGATCCTGTTTCCACTATCAAATGCAAGGGTGTGTTGCGCCCGTCTTATCCTTAACCTGCATGTTTAATCTTTGTTTCAACAAGTTAATGATGTCACAAAGTCCTGACGCCATAGGAAACAACATCCGGAAGGAGATCCACGTTGCCTGTTTCCACAGCTGTATGCAATAGTGATTCCACATCCTGTCCTAGTAGATGAACATTAGCTCCTCTTGACCGCAGCCATCTCATCCAAACAATGAATGAACCTCTGCCAGGGGTCATGAACTTAATCCATCCATCCTGTGCAAAAGTTTGACTAATTCAACATTTCCTCGAAGGCTTGCAAAGGGCAAAGCAGTCCAACCTTTTTCATGTCTCACGTTTACCACAACTGCAATATCAATCAGTGATTCAACGATTTCTTTTAAACCCTTTTCAGCAGCTTTGATGATCATTCTGTTGAAATGAATACGTTGGTGTTGATTCTGAAGATTCAACTTTCTAATAAGTGTCTTGATTATAGCAGTTTGGTTATTGTCGATGGCAGTTTGGAATGCTGCCTCTACAAAATCACTTTCAAAAGATAATGCTTTGCACAATGCTTCTGATGAGATTTTCATCTTTATTGCTGCACACTAGGTAGAGGAATGAATGGTTTGATCTTGTATCTTTCGTGCGTAATAGTCTTTGTATATTTACCTTGGATAAAAACTCCACGACTCCTTCGTGTGTCTTAAACACACTATGACTGAGTACTTCTGAAATGTTACCTTCAATCAGTTCAGAAACGAGTCTATTCATAAAATCTGACATGGGCCATTTAACCAGAGGTATGTCTAAACAGGAACTGATACCTCCATCATCATTGAACTGGACAATGTCCTTCAGATATATTATAGGCTGGAATGATCAATTATAAACTTCACTTTATGCTTACCAATTACAGCAGATACTCTTTCCTAACTGAAGCATGGGAAAAGCAAACAAAAAGTTCTTCTGTCTTCAAATGAGAGCTCATCATATTCTCAATTGCTTGCTGTAGTTTCATGAAATGAACACAGAGGCTTTCACTTGGAATGACATCATCGTTTCCAAAGATTTCTTTTGACATGTTTGCAATCTGATGCTGTTCTGCAGTAGGTTCTTTCGATAAATTTAGTTTAGAAACGTGAATCCGACCCTCTTCATAAACAAGAAGGCAGTAAGCAGCTCTTTTGTACAAATCTTGCCAGGTAGCTGTGATAGTGTCATCAAGAAACAGTTTTGGATTCTCAAAGAATTCTTCTGGACTGTCCGTTGTACTTCTAAGGGTGAAAAACAATAGGCTAATGGAAGGAAAACCATAAGGGAAAGTCAGTCCAATGAGCTTGACAATGTCTTCATCAGACAGCTGTTCTTTCTCGGGATGTTGAAGTTAATAGCATTTGAATCATTTCATCTGAAGTTGATCTTGAATTTTTGTAATGTTGGAATCTTTGGCCTTGAAAACATAAAGATTTGAACCTTTTCCAATTGGGGGGTAGCTTCTTGAAGTATGTAATCCCTGGATGTAAATAGTGCCAGAAATCCGGGGTCTCTAGAAGAATACAATCTTTTGTTTACATCTTCAATGAATGGTTTCCATCGTCTTAATTCATTTGTATCAAAATAGATGGATCACAATATGTCATTAAATAAGATAAGAATATGCAGTTGAAAAGATTCCTCGGGACTTTTTGCCCAAACACTTTTCATCCCTCTTTGTTAAAAATCCATTTAAGAAAAATATCATTCAGTTGACTTTCCTTCTCCTGGTGCCCCAGCTACAGTTAAGTTTCCTACAGTCTCCAGTTATTTTCTTGCCCCCAGCACAATTTTCAGTGTTAACAGAACGCGTCTCAACCTTCAGCTTTGGCCATTCTGCAACAACAACCAGAAAAGATGGAAGATTCATGCAAGCCATCTATTAAAGAACAAATAAACTTTTTTTTTACTCTTTTAACCATTACATATGAAAGATGTGTGGTAAGTCTTATGCAGAACCCCAAATTCATTCTTGAAAACCTTGTGGTTAATTAATACCGAGCGATTGAAAAGTTGCCCCAAAGTTGCCTGTTTCTCTCTCGCCCGCAAACGAAACCACAGACAGGTTACGTAACGAAACGATATCTTACGATTTTGTTAGTTCAGATCATTGTAGCACGTCATTTTGATGATTTAAAGAATCAAAACTACTTACTAGTTATAGTAGGGGAAATATGTATATGATTTGATGACCATAAAGATGTTTTTCCATGACACAACTTGTCAACATAACGATTTCTTCCAGTTATAGTAAAATATGCGAGGTTGTGGTCCATGAAGTAACAATAATATTGTAAGTAGTACTGTATTGACACCCGCCTCGCTTCCAAGAGAGAAATTGTTATGTTATTAGCTATGTCATGCAAAATCCTAATGGCAATCAATCAAATACATAATTTACTACCAGTAGAAAGTAGTTTTGATTTTGTAACTCGGTGAAAACAAACCTAAAGAGCATTCATCCTCAGACTGGCGGATGTTCGCGACAGGGCGCCGCTATTTTTTAAAATCGTAAAGTCACAGGCTAAAGTCTGTAAGAATTAATGAGATTATGGTTTGTTTTCATCAAGTTAGGAAATCAAAACTACTTTCTACTCGTAGTTACATATGTATTTGAATCATGACCAAAAGGATCTTGCATGACACAACTTGTAACATAACGATTTCTTCCACAGAAGCGAGGTGGGGGTCGAAGTCACAATACTGCGCGATAATTTTCTTGCTACATTCACGTGGTTAACGTCCACTCCCCAGTATGTAGATACCAGTCAATGTACGTCTTTATATTTGGTCTTATAATCCTTATTAGTTTAGTCACACTTGTATGCACTTTGAAATTAAATAAAAAGCAGACGATATGCTGATACTTATAGTGAATTTATAACAGGACTGTAATATCTAGACACTTTATAGTTTGCCAATGTGAATCATAATTCGCACACACGCCCTATATGTATGTTGTCTGTGTCATTTCATCAAGTTAGAAAACTAGTATAAAACTGTTGTCTGTCTCATTCTAAATCGCATTGTGTAATCATGTCTCATTACACTTCACAGCGAAAACAATGATTCTGTTGAATGCTACGACAAATGAATAAAAACATAATGCATGTATTGAAATTAAAACAGATTAAAGTTACAGGAACAATGCCAGGCTATTACCTTGTTCGAGGAATGTATTCATCAATATCCACAAAAACGAGTGATATGACATTTATCTGCAGCTGTTCCAAGTGATGTGTCTAATATACGAAAAAGTGATATATCGTTATAGGTATTTCACATTGGTGTATAGTCTCATTGGTCACCCAAGATAGCACACCTGGCAACTAATTGCATAATGTCCGTCATTCTTTAAACAAAGAGTAATTTAGTTAGCCAATAATGAGCAATCAATCAATGTATTGGCGGTTAATCCTTTGAAAGAAGGACGTTGTTTTTACACAGACACTACACTACCTTTTGACAAATCCGCTGTGCAAGATAAAAGTAATTAATCAATCAGCGTGTTATCGGTTAATCCTTTGACCGATGTTTATGATGTTGAGACACAAGAAATGCCAAATAGGACCTTTGTCGGGTAATCTATAGTTTGGCATGAAATGCATGTGGACCCGGTTTTTTGTAAATATCTCTTCATCCAATGACCCAATCGATCTCAAACTGTGCAAGTGGATGTTTTGTCAGACAACCTAAGCACATTGTAAATCACCGATTTTATGCATTTGTATTACAGAATCTGTCTATGTTACTGTCAACAAAATAAACAGCAGAACGCAAACTGCTTGCAGAGGGAAGGAGCCAATGACTTGTAATTGTTACCACTAATTATACCTGTTATAATTTCATTAACTGACCATCAAGTGAATAATGACAAATAACGTGTAGGTTTATGCCACGTAACACGGGTTACAACAAGGGAGTATTAATTGCTTTATTGCATGCAATTTTAATTGCATGTGAAAACTTATGGGCCGCCACTGTTTTGAGAATACGAACAGTACCTTATTGTTGCATAAAAAGTACATATAAGCATTTGCTGTGTGCCAAAACTGTATGTACCTATTTACCTAAGTAAATGTTCAGATTCTTCTAGCAATGGCAAAGTAGGGTTGTTTAGTTTACGGATTCAAATAAATCAAATGTCAATTTTTACTATCATACGTAATAGACGTCATATGTTTACATGACATGATCAAATATCGAGGTAAAAAAAACACAGAAATGGGATCAATTTGGATCAGTCATTATACCATCAAGGCATTAGAAAACCTGAAAAAGCCCACACTGCTTTGATACTTTATTACAATCAGACAGGAACTACCAGGGATATTTTCAAATAACTGCATCTGATGGGCATCCAACCTTCTTAATGTCGTACTGTTTAGGTTGAAGAAATTAACCGTAACCGTGATGAGCGAGGCTGATCATCGTTTTCACTATCACTAGCGTCTGGCTCGAACAAATAAGGCCTACCGACACCAAGCGATTTTGACAGAATCGTCTATGAAAACAAGTTGTAACTCGGAAACTAGGCAAATCAGGAGACAAAAGTAAATGACGGTAGATTGTGAGAACATATAGCTTTCATTTTTCACAATAGTTGTCACGATTTCAGGTTTATACAAACCTGAAAACAAAATAATTTACCCCCTGAAATGTACATGAATTCAGCATTGGCCCTCATATCTATTCCTCATAGGACGTAACAGAGACGCGCGGCTCTAATTGGTTGAATTTCGTTCACGGGGGAGAATTGTGCACTGTTGTCACAAAGGTCGATTTCAGTTAATTAAAGATCGAAATGAGTAGTTTTAATGACGGGCTTTCATTTATAACGAGGCCATTTAGTGATTTATGTATTTGTACCCCGTAGAGTATATATACGATCTTGAGCTGTCCCTGGAGCTGCATTGCGCCATCGTGTGCGGTCAGACGGGGTGCGGGAAGACCGTTTTTGTATTGGATATGCTGGAAGGGTATTATCGGGATGTGTTCGATCATATTCTGATTCTTTGCCCTACTATACGCGTCAATAAAATGTACACAGAGAGAGCGTGGGTGGTGAATGGTGTGAAGGTGAAAAAATCGACCCGGGAGTACGTTTACAGGACTGGTTGCGAGCCTTTCACGACAAGTTCGAGGGAGAATCGGCGCTGTTTATCCTAGACGATTGCAGCGCGAATAAAGGGATCACCAAAACGAGGGATATATTATCGTTTTTAGTGTTTTCGGGACGCCATATGAAACATAGCGTTTGGGTCCTCACGGAAACATTCAACTTGGTCCTGAACGACCTCAGGGAAAAGACGAGATGGGTTGCCTGATTCCACTGCAAGGATAGGGATTCGTTCGAGGAATGTTTAAGAGAAAACAACGTGATTCCCACCAAACCCGAGCCAGAACGCGTGAGAACATTGTTAGCCGAAACAAAACACGCTAAACTAGTGCTGAAACCAGAACAATCCGTGGCTTATGCGGTGTGTTTGCTAAGCAACACTTAGCAAAATCAAGCAACCTGCTTAGCAAAATCAAGCAGCCTGCTTAGCAAAATCAAGCAACCTGCTTAGCAAATTAAATGTATAACCATGACGACATTTGAAATTCTAGTTCTGTTTACATGACATTCATATCGTTCTGTTTGGATTTTGCCGGATTTTATTATATTAGATTTAAAAACAGATTGATGTATTAGAAGATAGAGTTTGTCAACATGCTCAAACAAATAATATCAGAGAAGGGAGATGTATCGTCCCACATCGGGGATAAGCGAGAAAGACTCGTGGCTCTCGCCGTGGGTGCGAAGGGGGAACAATACTTGGGTGAAAACATCACCACCGATAAAACTTATAACATGTCCGATGGAGACATCAATAAACTGTACACGAGATACAAAGCCCGATTCGGTGCTGAAATGACAAAAACCGAAGGGTTGACTATAACGCAATTCTACACCGTTATAGCTTCGTTTCTGCTTACCATTCTGCCGGAACGTCGACTTTATTTGTGCGAAGATCTCGACGCGATCGAGCCTTGAACATCCTCAGTTGTGAGTTGTATCACCGATATGGTATGTTCTTAGCTCCCGTCACTGCGGCGATCATTATGGCGGAGCATTGTCAATTTAAGCATAAATATTTGACTAATGATATATAAGATGATGGAGCCAAAGATCCAAACGACCTCGACACCTGTGGAGGAGACCCCTTAAGTGATTGATCCCATAATGAAGAAACCCAAGAATCCGAAAAAAGTAGCCGCCGGTAAAAATGGGGGTTAGCAAGGCATCATAAACCGGTGATTACCCCACCGTGCATTCCGTACGCTGTGGCAGCCACCACTTTCGTGGGTATCACCACGGCTGTATAGTTATATCAACAAAACAAAAAGACGACACTACCGGTTCAACCATTAACCACACAATTACAGGTAAACCCACACGTTATGCTATAATCATGTCCACCGCCGACGGAAAAACATTTGTCAACGATGCGTTCACTCATGGTCAGTGGTCTAGCCATCGGCTACGCGCGTTTAAGTAAAATGATCACGAAAAAAACAACTCCAAAACTCGATTTCAACACGTACGACATGGGCATGCTCGTCCTAGATTTGGCAATGGCGATGACCACCAAAGATATGCCTATCAAGCAAGGGATCATTCCAGAAAACATATTAAAGTAAGAGTCATGATATCAAACATAAATGTCTACGTTCGCGATGATGCTCGGTGGGGCTTTAGTCAACGTCATAGCCTTTTCGGGGAGCAATTATCTCTTCTCCCAATTACGAACGTCAAACAAGACCGAAATCGAAGCGGAACGGAAATGTCATGATTTAGTCATCGAGAAATTACAAGCCTACTATGCAACAAAACGCATGCAGAGAATAGATTTTATCCACGACCAACGAGACGGTCGTGCCGTTCGAACGTTTAAGTACGTGGACGAAGCCATGCACGTGTATTATCTCATCACCGGAAAACGACGAACCCACACTCTCGCCATATTACACACCTTTCCCGGAACAGAAAGATCGTGAGTTGACCTTCGTGGCATTAGGGTTAGCTGCGACCGTGTTGATCATCAATCAATTAGACTAAAGTATATCCAAGTTCATATAGCGAAGATGAGACCCAGCCCGTATCATTGCAAATGCGTGCTTCTGGGAAAAGCTGAGACCTGTGACAAGAAATGCAGGACCGAGTACTGTGGGATAGACATGATGTCTATCAGAAAGGGTTTCGTGAACTACACGTGTTCTGTATGCAGTATTGGAGTGAAATGCCATTATGGTTTGTGCAAAGCCAATGGAGCAGACCAGGTGCGAAACCAACTTATTTATGATAAGAAAAAAGATTATCTGAATGAACATAACCGACTACTGCTGTCAAAAAACAAAAAAACAAAACAAAACAAAAAAACATGTGCGACAAAACACTGATGCACATGACATGCTCCAAAATATGAATCATAATTTTTTTCGCGGGGCATGAGGGAACAAAATTAACCACAAATAAAACCATCGGGGTACCCGGTATTAGAACCCCCACTATTAATACTACTTGCCTCATACATCCTTAAAATCCACATTTCTGAGAAATTTGACTAGATTAATACCAGAGAACAAATTCTAGCCTCCACATCATTTAGCAGATTTCCTGTAATATCTTTGTTCAAATTTGAGCCTCAACGTTGCCAAAATATGTTTATTTAGCCCCATGCTTATGACACACGTTAGGAAAACAAATTTAACATAGTCACTGGGATTCCTTACGTATCATTAAACGGCAAATTGATCTTGGGGGGATCTCAATACTTTCTTTGAGTTTCATAGTTACGAATGCACTGCGTTCATATATATTTCCTGATTAGTGTTAAACCTGTGTCTAGTGTAGTCCAGATCGGCGTGGGCTTATCCGGTCCTTGCCCAAGTGGCACCCAGTCATCCACAGATTTCAGCTTTCCTTCATGATCAGTTTCTTCTGTTGCAACTGAAACATATTAAATGTAATGGTTTATTGCAAAATGGTGAGTTTGGTTTTAGTTAAAACGACTGAAGTAAGCATCATAATGTATACTCAAAGGCAAAAGTAAGTGTGATGAACACATGTGTTTATATAAATGAGAAAGATTTAAGATTCTTTATAATACATTTAATCCATAACCTAAACAGGGATCTATCGGTAGTTTTTGTTTTGCATATGTTTTTCATGCTTTCATGGCGTCCATGGTAAAAGAAAGGCATAGAACGTGCCCTTTAAAAAGCTTTCCTCTAAACCTCGGATCATTGGCACCCAAATCAACATTTAGATGTTGACGGGTCCGAAAAACACAAATTTGGAAGAAGCTGTTTGCATTAATATATGCCATGTCTCGCTGAAATTGAAAGATGGCAAGCCACAGGAATGCTTGAAACTGGAACACGCCAGTGCAACATTGCACAACAGTTTACTGGGCTCAGGAACACCATGTGCCACTTGTGGAATCGTTATCAACAAAATGCCATCGTTGCAAATCGTCCCCGAAGTGGCGGTCCATCTGTAACCATGCACTAAACAATTGTTGGATTCCAACCACCCATCAGCGCCAAAGATTCCAATCAGCCACACTGACAGCCCTAACAGATGAGATGTTTGATTGGCTCTATAAGGCGCAGGTGTCAAGCATGTATCCATGCTCATGGTGGACAATCAATCAATCATTTATTCAACAGAAAGGCCACTGGCCCACGTATAACACATTTCAAGCATATTTTGTCGTGACATTTTGATACATTTTATATAAATTTACATATCGAGCTGTTATTTTCTCTGTAAGAGAGCTTCCTTGATTATTATAGGACAATTGTGAATTATATATGATGAACAGAAACCCAACAAAATTATATATGACTGAACAGTGACATTTGTGCAATAATAAGGCAGGAAATGTTTTAATCTTATGCTTTTGTATAAGAGGCATTTAAGGAGGAAATGGTATTCATCTTCAACTGCCTGTAATTCACACACTTGGCAGATCCTTTTTTTCATGAAGCAACCCTTCCCATCTTCCCGTGTTGATTCTTAGTCTTAATTCGGATGAACGGTTAGAAACAATAATCTTTTTAATTCCTGTTTCTTGACAGTTGATAGATAAAACCTCTGTATTTAGAACGAATATAAAGTCTTTGCAATATGTCATTTGTCTTGATGTTTATATGCCTCTGTCCATTCTTGTTGATAACAATCTTTAATCCTTTGTTTAAATGTAATTGTGACATCCAAAAGAATCCAAAAACCGTACTGAAAAAGTTCTTTTATATGACTGGCCCATGTTTTTCTGTTGCTTAAGTCCAGTTTAAACATCATGGTATACACCTGTTTCAGGTGTCTGTTTGATGGTAGCCGTAGCACCTTACACTATAATATACATCTTGCGTGGTAGTACCTTACACCAGTATATACATCTTTCTGATCCATAAATATGATTGGCTTGATCTGAACGTTGACTATCTTATACAGGATATGTAGTGATATGTTCTTCAACCGTCCCGGGAGAGCTTTGATCCTGAACAATGTTTTGCTGGCCTTGGATGTTAGTACATACATAGCCTTGATCTATGATAATTTCGAGACCTAGATAATTATAATCAGGAGAGATCTTTATATCAACTTCGCCATATTTCCATTTTTCTGTTTCTGGAAACTATCATGTCGGGTTTTTTCTAAGTTTACTTATAATGACCCCTTGAGACAAAACTTCTTTAAAAAGTCAATCTTCCGTCCATTCCTATTACTGTATCATAAAAATGCACACATCATTGGCATAGAATAATAAAAGAATTTCTAAGAAGTCTTGTCCAACAAATATCTCTCTCATGCAGTTCCGAATCCAGTATCATGTGCTCCAATTATACAATGTATAACGGGAACAAGATCGAACCTAGATGGCAGCCTTGTCTCATTCCACTCACAGTATCGAAATAGTCAGTAATAGATGAATTAGCCATCCTAACAGCAGAATCCACGTTTGAATATATATCCTCTAAAATATGAAAGAATCTTCCGTGAATACCTTTCCTCAGTATCATAAACCATAACAACTTTGTATTCACACAGTCAAATGCCTTGGGAAAGTCTACAAAGAGACAATAGAATCGTCCTTTCCGTTTCGATAGGTATTTATGTGCTAAAACCTGGAGACAAAACATGTTATCCACTGTATTGTAACCTGACCGAAATCCAGCCTGTGATTCTGGGATATTCTCACATATTTCACAAAATGCTTACAAACGTTTATTCAATATATGCGTAAATAACTTTCCCAATATGTCGATCAAAGAAATTGCTCTGTAATTATTTACATCTTGAGTGATTCCTTTCTTGTGGAGAGGTTTAATGCGTGCCCGTGACCATATGTCTGGAAACGTTCCTGAATACAATATTTTATGAAACAATACTGACAGGTATCGGAGTAGTATAGTTTTGCAGCTCTTGATCATCTCCGGAGTATACCGTCAGGACATACACATTATCGACTGTGTGGTATTCATTTTGACCGTTCTCTCACTGAGACCGCATTAGAATGTGTCCGCCATAAAAGTTGCGCCATTTGCAGTTCTATTGTGGACTGATTTTCTTGCAATATATACAAAGTCTCATCATAAATATACTAGCCACATAAAGAAACTGTGCATTGTCAAAATATTATCCCAGTTGATAAGTACGATAACAATGTCAAAGGTACATATAAACTTTAATGGAGGGATCATGACACCATAACAAGTGGGGAGACTTTCAATTGAAAAGTCAATCAAAATGACGTCACGAGTCCACAAGCGGGACAGGGGTCAAACGACCATGTCACAAGCTCAATAACGGGTATGTCCACCATCGGCATTGAGAACAGCAGTGCATCGACGACGCATAGAGCCTATCAAACGTGCAAGGAAGGCTTGTGGGATGTCACGCCAGATTCTCTCAAGTTCTGTTGCAAGGTCAAGGACGTTATCTGGCGGATGAGGAAGACGGCGTAGACGTCGATCCATCTCGTCCCAAGCATGCTCTATCGGGGAGAGATCCGGTGAATTTGCAGGCCAAGGCAGTAAGTCAACGTTGTGGTGTTGTAAGAAATCCATAGCAACCCTTGCCGTATGAGGGCGGGCATTGTCCTGTTGGAATGTTAACCCAGGGCCATGACGTTGCAGAAAAGGAATTTCCACAGGTCGAAGAATCTGATCCCTGTAGCCCACACCAGTTGAGTTGCCCTGAACAATCACCAAAGGAGTTCTTTGGCGTGCTGTTATTCCACCCCAAATCATCACGGAACCACCACCAAAGCGATTCCTCTCCAAGACACATGCCTGTGCATAACGTTCTCCCACGCGTCTATAGGCACGTTGACGTCCATCACTATGGGAAATGTTAAACTTGGACTCATCTGTGAAAACAACATTTCTCCACCAAAACAAGGGTCTGCGGACATGATTTCGGCACCACATTCAGCGAGCTTGTCGATGACGTTGTGTCAGGATAGGCCGTATGGTGGGACGTCGTGGTCTGATCCTGTGATGACGTAAACGTTGTCGAACTGTGTTGGGGTGGATACGGCGAAGTCCTGGGATGGTTCGGGCAGTCATCACTGCTGTCTGAAACCTGTGGCGCAGATGGGTCACCCTTATCCATCTGTCCTGTCTTGGCGTTGTTACACGTGGACGTCCAGAACGTGGCCGATCGATGACGTCATTTGTGTTCTTGTAGCGTCTCACCAGTGCAGAAATGGTGTTCCGGTGGCAGTGGAAATGTGCAGCCACTTGTCGTTGAGACATTCCCCCACGGACCATCCCAATAGCCCCATGACGTTGTGCAAACGTGAGCCTTGGCATGTTATGCGTTTCAATAGCCGTTTAATTTTTTGAACGATCTCAAGGGCAAGGGTTAAGCTTTCCAAAGTGACAGTATTGTGTGGCATTCATTTGCTCTGTTTCTCTTTCCCTCAATGCAGGTGCAACAACGTATTGCACGTCTCAAGGACGAACCCACTGACGTCACGGAACGTGGCACGCGCATGCATGTTGGATACATGTCACTAATCTCTGAGTTTAAATCCTTATGTGTCTACACAGGTTTGATAAATTTAGATGTTAAATGTTTGTATGCACAGTTTCTTTATGTGCCTAGTATCTTATGTGTCTACACAGGTTTGATAAATTTAGATTTTAAATTTTTGTATGCACAGTTTCTATACTAACTCTTGCCTTTGAGTACATTAACGATTCTGACATGAATATGATATCCATGTTGTCTTTCCTTATACTCCTTCTTAAAATATCTTTTTACTTGAACAAGTTGTGCAATGCTAATTTCAAGACCTTGGAGTTGACCCATTAGAATTGATCTTCAGCAACCCATGCTTCTCGTAAAAGCCGACAAATGGGATCGTGTGGTCAGGCTTGGTGACTTGGTTGAAACGTGTCATCATATCCCAATTGCAAAGATCAATGCTCATGATGTTGATCACTGGATTGTCTGGTTCTGACTCGATTATTTACGGACTGCTGACATATAGTTGGAATATTGCTGAGTTGCCACACCAAGCAAACAAATTCTGGGAAGTAAGTGCTTACTTTTCCTTCATAGCAAGCAGTACATCTTTAACCCATCAGTAGAGGAAGTTTTTGCTCCGAGGGAAAGATTGCTAAGAACTGTCTCCCATATTCAGGAAGAAACCATTCACACATTGTCTGATTCCAGATGATATCCCATCAATCAAAACTGTTATCGTGGAGTAAGTGAGAGAGTGAGTGAGTGAGTGAGTGTTTACCATCACATCGGCAATGTTTCAGCCATATGATGACAAGACCAGATTTTACGTTCATAATGAATATACATGTATATTATATAAACTAACACAATCATTAAAAAAAACAGGTTGGACAAGAACGTGTTAAACAAATAGTGCAAATGTTGGATGCATCTATCATTCAGCCATGCGAGTGTTAGTGGTGCTCTCC